CCAGCTTATCCCTATTCATGTGAACTGACTTTTCTGGGGTTTTCACTGAAAGGCCAGGTCTCTACTTTTTTGTGGGGGGGATTTTAAGTTTTTAACCTCAGTTAGTTAACATTATTTATATTGATTGCAGGTGTACAATCTAGCGATTCAAAGATTCCATACATTACCTGGTGCTCATCATGACAAATGTACTCCTTAAAGCCCATACCTATTTAACCCATCCCTCCACCCACCTCCCCTCTGGTAACCATCAGTTTGTTCTCTATAATTGTCTGTTTCTTGTCTCTCTTTCTCTCTCTTCCTACCCCCCCCCCCACTTTGCTTATTATATTTCTTAAATTCTACATGAGTGAAATCATGGTATTTGTCTTTCTCTGATGATTTGTTTTGCTTAGCTTTATAATAGCTCCATCCATGTAATTGCAAATGGTAAGATTTCATTTTTTATGGCCGAACAATATTCTGTTGAATACATATATCTTCTTTATTTATTTGTCAATTGATGGAAACTTTGGTTGCTTCCATATCTTGGCTATTATAAATAATGCTGCTATAAACATAGGGGTGCATGTATCCCTTTGAATTAGTGTTTTTGTATTCTTTGGGTGAATACTCAGCAGTGCAGTTGTTGGATCATAAGGTAGTTCTATTTTTAACTGTTTGAGGAATCTCCATACTGTTTTCCACAGGGGCTGCACTAGTTTGCATTCCCACCAACACTGCAAGAGGGTTCCTTTCTCTCCACATCCTTGCCGACACGTTATTTCTTGTGTTGTTTATTTTAGCCATTCTGATATGTGTGAGGTGATATCTCACTGTGGTTTTGATTTGCATTTCCCTGATGGTGACAATGAACTTCTTTTTGTGTGTCTGTTGGCCGACTGTATGTCTTCTTTGGAGAAATGTCTGTTCATGTCTTCTGCCCATTTTTGTTAGATTGCTTTTGGGGTGTTGAATTTTATAAGTTCTTTATATATTTTGGATACTGACCTTTTATCAGATATGTCATTTGCTAATATCTTCTCCCATTCTGTAGGTTGCCTTTAGTTTTGTTGATTGTTACCTTTGCTGTGCAGAAGCTTTTTACTTTGATGTAGTCTTAATAGTTTGTTTTTGCTTTTGATTCCCTTGCCTCAAGAGATGTATCTAGAAAGAAGTTGTTATGGCTCATGACAAAGAAGTTACTGGCCCATGTGTCTACTTCTGACTGGTTGGAACTTTAACGTCTCCCAACCATCTGTGAACTGTTAGTTCACGCCTCCCCTGTAGTTCTTTACCTGGCCTCATGAAGTCATGCCCTAAACATGTGCAGTTTAGCATTCAGCTGAAGACTCAAGGAGATCTCTAGGCAGAGTTCTAGAGTTCTCTCTGCATAACTCCCTCTTCTCTGATACCCTGCTCCACAAATTCCAATCACCTCTCTCTCCCAAAATTCTGATCTCTCCCCTCAGTTCAGCAATACTATCATACTCTGCTTGAATTCTCCTTCCCTGAACCATGATCCAGAAAACATCTCTGACAAAAAGGTAGGGGCTTACAGAACTTTCTCCTGCCTTATTATTTTTCAAGGGACCCCTCCAGTACCAGTTACTCCAACATGTTTGGAAGCAAAATTCAGGCCATCTCTTTTTTGTTTAGTTATATCTTGTTCTTTGCTTATGTTTTCAGTTCCTTCTTTTGCTTATTTAAACATTAAAAACACTTTATATTGTCTGACAAGTCCAATATCCAAAATCTCGGATGGCTAATTTAGTGTTTGATATTTTCATTCGCTTTGGCTTATATTTTTAAATTTTTGATTTTTAGCTCACGCTCAACTGGATTATCTCTGTGGGAATCCTATGAAGTCTAGGTTGAGGGTGAACATCTTCAGAGAGGATTTGTTTGCTTCCACCAAGCATTCTGAGGGTTTCCTAGACCTTGTGGACAGTATGTATATACATGTAAACCCAAAATCTCTCTGAAGACAGAGCTTGGTTATACATCATAGGGGGATCCTTAACCAAAACTTTTTTTTCCTCTAAGGTTAAGATATTCAAATTCCCATGTCATTTTATATCAAGGGTCCCAGATTTATATTTGGGAGTCTTATTTAAAGTTTGGTGTCTTGTTCAGGCCCAAGGTTTTGTCTCATGTCTCTCTACAACCAGAAACCCCAGGTTCTGGGTCACTGGGATGAACAAAACAGCCTCAGGACAGCTGTGGTTTGAGTGCTTGCTTACTACTTGTACTACTTGTACTACTTGACTACCTTTTTTGACCACCTGTAGATTTTCCTTTCTACCATGTGAGCTCCCATATGCATTAAAAGGGTATTTGATTTATGTTATCCAACATTTCTATGTGGTTTGCAATGTAATTTTTTTTTCAGATTTATTTATTTATTTATTTATTTGATAGAGAGAGCACAAGTAAATAGAGCAGCAGGCAGCAGAAGATGGAGAAGCAGGCTCTTCACTGAGCAGGGAGCCTGATGTGGGGCTCGATCCCTGGATCTTAGGATCATGACCTGAGCCAAAGGCAGCTGCTTAACCAACTGAGCCACCCTGGTGACCCCCGCAATGTAATGATTTTCAGGCCCTTTAATCCATACTATTGTTGGAAATGGAAGTCTGATCTTTGTCTTGCCTAGTTCCCTCTTCCTCTGGCCCTGGCTGGAGGAGAAAGAATGGATTCAGCACCAAGGTCTTTGCCTAATGCAACCATACGCTGACTGTGTGGCCTCTGGCAGTCCCTTCCTTTCTCAGGGTCTCAGTCTCCCTCTTTATAAAGTGAGAGATTAGATGCCCTAATCCCTAGTTTTCCTTCCAATTTTAATTTTCTTTGAGTCTATTTATCATAATCTTCTCTTTTCCGGGGGGCTTTCTAATGGGTCACCTGGAACAAGAATTGGGGAAAGAGTGCTCAGTGATAAGGGTATCCTGCTCCCATTTCCTAGATGCCCTGGGGTTACTGACCATTAAGTGTCCCCCTGATGGACTGAGTATCTTGGAGGTGAGTAATTGGGTTACTCCTTACTTCCCTGCTGGCACAGATAGCACACAGCAAGTCCTCCTAACAAAACCTACATCTAGGCTCTGGCTCTAATTTCACCCTCACTTCCGCCAAGAAATCTTTCTAAAAACTGACGTCCAGATAGAGGAGAGGACTACTCGATGGATGGCAAAAATTGGTAGTGAACTGGCAGTGGTTGCCTGGACCTTTGTGCTAAGGATATTTTTTGAACCATCACTTGAGTTCAAAGTGTTGTGATTGATTAATGATGCCTGCAGGGGCCTGGGCGGAACACACAGTACCATGGATGACACGTATTTGCCATCTCTGGAGTGTCCACTCGAGTCATGCTACATCTTTTTGCTTTAGAAAGTCTTGGACCTCCCTAATCCAAGGAAGATGACAGGAGGGAGCTTTAAGGAAAAGTCTAGCTGCTCTAGTGAGACAAGAGTTTAAGACTCTTTCAGATAATTTCACATCTTCCCATCATACCTTGTTTGTTGGGGGCATAGTTGAGGGGGTGAAGCCTTATCCTCCTCTCCTCGTGTTTCTCTGGAGAAAGGGGCTCCTCCTTTTCTCCTTCCTCAAGGGACAATTTGATTATGTAGCACTGGATATTCACTGGGCCCTATTTCACCAGTGGGAGACATCCCTGCTCAAGTCTGCATATTTTTGGCCATTTTCAATGTGGCAAGCACCCTGAGTCAGACTGGGGCCTGCTCTGTAGAGATAGTTCCATGGTCCCTGTGCACACAGCTTCTGAAGTACACAACTTAGCATCTAGGCCCAAGGGTTCAATTCGGGGAAGAAGGTAGGAGGGCCAGTGTCTCCATTCCAATGTCCTGCCTGAGGAGCTGGAGAGTGCCTGCATGCCAGGACAAAGGTAGAACTTGTTTTCCCTTGCCTTCTAATCCTTTTATGCCCTTATGCTCGGAGAGGGGGTTACAGAGGGGAGAGTAGTTAGATGCCCAGGACCCCTAGAAAATATCAAGCCCTTATGTATCAAGAGATGCAGGCTTAAGAACATAGCATGTCATTTCAAATCCATTTTTAGGGGAATACAGGTATAATTCAAAACAAGCCTTTGGATGATACAAAGGATAAAAATTAAACCTCAAAAAATTCAGATGAGAAAAACATCTATTCCAAAGGAGCACAAGTAGTTAAGTATAGAGCTCATCACCAAACACAGCCCACAGATCAGGACCTGAACTCTTTTCAAAGTCTGGAGAACCAGGCAGACCCTCTGGGGTCCAGGCCCTGCTCTGGCAAGTAGCTCTCGGGAGCCTCAGACAAACAGACCCAGAGCTGGTGACTACCACCGGGGGGTAGTCAACACCTGAGAGGTGCAGAGGGGGCTGCCATCTCAGGGCTCCTGATGCTGGTAAGGACTCTTCAGGCCTGTCAGCTTGAGAAGGGGTGTCTAATCCACCAAAGAGTACTGAGGCTGGGCTACATGGGGACATTAACACACGGGGGTGCCGCAGGAATTCTTGCTTTTGGGATACCACCAAAGTGTCCCCAGACGTGGTCTCTCACCATCTTTTCCATCCCATTCTGTGCCCCTTTCCCTTATTCTCCCTCTTCCCTAGTTTCCTTCTCCCTCAGTCCTTGCCCTGCCCACTTCTCAGTGGCTCTCTTATCTCTCCCTCCGTCTTTTCTTCCATCTGTTCTTCCTCTCCGTCTCCGTCTCCGTCTCTTTCCTCCCTCTTCTCTCTCATCCACTCTTACCCACCTGGGCCAGAAGCAGAGCCCTTTTCCACACTGTTAAGGGTAGGAGGGCACACTTTAATCCCATCCACGACCTCCTCAGAGTTAATATACCCTTTGGCTTGGCCCCCTTGCAGTGAGACATCTGTTTCCTTGGGAATGTGGGATTTTCTGGCTGATTTAACTGGTTACAGAGGAAGCTCTGGGTCAGAGAAATCAAGTTTCCATGAATTCAGCCTAGAACAGGGCTGTAGGGGCCTTGTAGGAGCCAGCCTATCCCATGGCCTCACCCAGATGCTGGAGACATGCTCATTTATTATGCAGAGGCTCAGAGAAAGCAGGTAGGGGATTTGGGAGGCAGGGCTGGGTGGACAGGAGGAGCTGTGTCCAGGCCTGGAGCTCTGGGTAGCCACAGGGACAGCATCACCTCTTAGAGGCCTGTTTTTTCCAGGGGACCACCTTCTTACTGCCCCTCCTGACTTTGCTGACAACAGGCAAATCCACTTCAGGCGATTTCATTCTAAAAATCAAAATAGAGAGAAGCAAATGCTGAGAAATGGATGGAGAGAACTGGTGTAAACAGCACTCAGAGCCCTGCCCTGGCCTGAGCAGAAGTGGGCCTGGCCCCCTGCCTTGCACAGCTGAAGACCTCTGGGTGTTGCTCCAACCTGGAGGTCCCAGCAGCAACTGTGACCTTTCTAGAGGCTCACAAGTTTGCTTTTCTATTTTCATAAGAAATGTGTGATTTTTACACTCTTGCAGAATATGTAATTCACTTCAGTCGATGTGGCTGAGTTAGTAGACTTCTGACAGGTCTAGAAAGTTTCCTGTAGGGAGACAGCAGGCAGCGTCTACCCTTCTCAGATTAATGGTCTGGGTTGTAGGGTTTTGCAGCAGAGTCTACACAAGACCTCAATCTCCACCACCCAGACCACTGCCTGCAGCTCCAGGGAGCAGGCTTGGTGCCCAGCTGGACATGGTGGTGATGAAATGGGCCAGAACAGGGACGGCTGGAGATGACCCACGCCCGGGGCAGGGGGGAGGGGGAGTGACTTGCCCAAAGCCACTTAGCCCCACAGGAACTCTGTGGCCTGTGGCAGAGCCAGGGGCCCTGCTGTGAGCCATGCCGCTTCTGTTGACCACAGGAGGGCCCCTCGGCCCCGGGGCTGGGGTGGCCACCTACTTCTTCTCGGCTTCAGGAGGGGACTCCTCCACCTTGTCCCCCATGGCCAACGAGGAGAAGCTTTGTTGGGTATCTTCCGATATTGCTTTCTTGGCTGAGTCAGGGTCTTCCGGGACCGGGGTGGAGGTTGGAACGCTGTAAGGGAGGCAGGGAAGGGAGGGCAAGTCTCAGCAGCGGCACAGCCAGAGGGAATCCCGAGTTTGCAGCACTGGCTTGGTGCTACCATTTAACATTCCAGCTCCAACAGAGAAAAGGGTGCAGGGCTTTTCTTCCCCAGGGTGAGTAATGGAAGAGTCTGACCCCTGGGGACCCAGAGACCCCCGGAGCTTGGTTTTTCTGGCCTCGGTGGAATCACCCTAACTCTATGTCAGCAACACCTGTGCACCCAGCACTGACCACCAGAGAGGCAGGAGGGCTCCATAAAGTGAGCAAAGGAGAGAGCACAGGAGGCCAGGGAAATAAGCCATCATGCACAGCCTTATGGGCTGCTTGTGTCCCCTCCCCAAACTCACAGATTGGTGGAGTCCTAACCCCCAGTACCCCAGACTGTGACCTTATTTGGAAATAGGGTCACTGCAGATGTCATGAGTCAAGAGGAGGTTATGCCAGAGTAGGGTGGACCTCTAATTCAACATACCTGGTGTCCTTATAATTAAAAAAAAGGCGGTGGGGGGGCGCGCCTGGGTGGCTCAGTGGGTAAAGCCTCTGCCTTCGGCTCAGGTCATGATCTCAGGGTCCTGGGATTGAACCCCACATTGGGCTCTCTGCTCAGCAGGGAGCCTGCTTCCCCCTCCCCCTCTACCTACTTGTGATCTCTCTCTCTCTCTCTGTCAAATAAATAAATAAAATCTTTAAAAAGGGGGGGGGGCAATGTGGACACAGACACACAGACAGGAGAACATCACGTGAAGCCTGGAGTAATAATGCTGCCATAAAGCCAAGGAACTACCAGAAGCCCAGAGACCGGCCGGGAGCCAGGCCTTCCCTAGCACCCTAGCACTTCCCTGCCTGCACCTCTGTCTGTGGCCTCCAGAACCATGACACAATACATTTCAGTTTAAGCTACTCAGTGTGTGGACCACTGTTACAGGAGTCTTAGGAAACTAATGAATAGGAGACAGGACAGGCCCTTTTATTCATTGTTTCTTCCTATCTATTGAGCCCCTCCTATGCCACTTTCTTGAGGGCAGCTCATTTCAGGGACAAAAGACAAGCAGGGGAGGGGAGAGGAGGGCATCCTCCATTGTTTAGAAAACCCTAGAAAGATAAAAAATGGAGGTATGGGCTGAGCTGTCTCCCCTGCTCCTGGTCCCAGGTGGACAGAGGTGTTAGGGAGTAAATCCTGGGAGTGAGTCTCTTGGGACTTCCTGAGCACCATGGTGGTGCTAAGGGCTCTTCCTCCTGTCCCCAACCCCATGTCCACCCCCCCGGATGGGTCACAGCTCAGCATTTCCTAGAAACTCAAAGCACAAGTAAATGGAGAAATGAGAGTCCAGCCAAGTGGGACACTGGAAAGGGAACCCTAGGTAAGAGCTACCGAAAGCAGGTTACACAATGAGAGTGTCAGGGTGACCAGGATGCGGGCAGCATTGGCAGTGTCCCCAGGTGAGGCCCTCCACCAGGCCTGGGGCTGTGTTGGCAAATGAAACATGCCGGCAGCTGGGGAGATGGTCTCCTCTGCCTGGCCCTGGACAGATGGAGAATGGGACCTGGTGTTACCAGAGTGGGGAGGGTGGGCTCTGGAGACCAAATCAGCCCCTCTCCTTCCCCCTCCCTCAGCCGCAAGCACACACAGAGCATCTTCCCTAACCCTCCACTTTTAAGTTGTGATTGAAAGTACATAACATAAAATAGACCCACTTGCTAATGCCTAGCTCTGCGGTGTTAAGTACACTCACATGGCTGTGCCGCCATCACCGCTATCTACCCCGACTTTTTCATTTCCCAAACTGAAACTCTGTCCGCATTAAACACCAAATCCCCATTGTTCCTCCCCCAGCCCCTGACAGCCACCACCCTCCTTTCGTCTCTGTGCATTTGACTCTCTAGGGACCTCAGGTAAGTGTTTGTCCTCTTGTGACGGGCTCATTTCACTGAGCATAATGTCCTTGAGTCACATCCGTGTTGTGGCCTATGCTAGGATTTCCTTCCATTTTAAGGCTGGGCAATATTCCACTGTATGCACAGACCACATTTTCTTTATCCGTTCATCCACTGATGGACGCTTGGGTTGCTTCCTTGAATAGTGCTGCTATGAACACAGGTATACAAATACCTCTTTGAAACCCCACTTTCAATTCTTTTAGTATCTACCCACAACTGAAATTGTTGGATCATAATTCTGTGTTAGACTTTTTGAGGACACACCGTACTGTTCTCCACAGCTGCTGCGCTGTGTCACAGTCCTGCCTACAGCACATGTGCGTTCCAGTGTCTCCACAGCCTCACCAAAACGTGCTGGTTTTGCTTATTTGATGGTAGCCATCCTAATGGGTATGAGGTGGTATTTCACTGTGGTTGTGACTTGCATTCTTCTAAGGATCAGTCCCCTTCACTCATTTTCTCATTGACTTCCGCATCTTTGGATCGGCCAAGATGAAGCACGTAGAGATCGTGTTCACTTCCAATCCCCAGTGCTGAGCATGAACCCGGGCAGGCACTCGGAGTGGCAGGACTTTTACGTTAAAAGTGGGGGCTGCTTCCAGGGAGAGGAGCCTCCCATCACTGAAGGCACATGAGGGGTGGGCTGGATGACCAGGGTGGCTGGTTATCAGTGGACATTCTGTCAAGCAGCCCTTCTTCAGTCTGAACTGACCTCTGCCTCCCAGGGATAAAAATCAGCTCTAGGTCATCATTCAATGAAAATGTCCAAGAGGGTTCTATGTGCCGGGCCCTGGGGCTGAGCAAAGGACACAAAGAAAGAGAGATAGGCCATGTGATACAGGACACCCAGCCTTTGAGGCTGGCCCGGCTTAACAGGTGCAGAGGGACCTGCAGCCCCTTCCCCACCCACGGCCTGCTCCTCAGGGCAGAGCTGGCTTGTCAGGCCTGCATGAATCTCCCCTCAGCTGTCCTTGGCCTGGCCTGCCCCTCCCCTTCTGCTCTGCCACAACCCATCTACTCCCAGCAGGGAGCCACCTCAGTCTCTGCTGGGGCTTGCGAGGCCTCAGTGGGGAGACTTGCCTCCCTGGGCAGCCAAGCTCCTTCACTGGGCACAGACAGATCTAGCTCTTCTTCCTGCTCACAGCCCTTGCTCCTCCATGGTGGACTCACAGACCCCGAGCCCAGACTGAGGGCTGTCTCTGTGGCTGCCCCCCCGAGTGCCCAGTGAGCAGCCTAGGCCTTCTGGATCTGTCCTCCAGTTCTGCCCACCTCACTGCATTTACTCTGTAGACATGTCTCCTCTCCCTCTCACGTCCCTGCCTTGAATCCTTGCACTAGAGCTGTACAAAACCAAGCACACTGAAAGTCTACTCTGGCAAGGAAGAAATGATTCCCACCCAGGGACAGTGAGGGCACCCTCCCTCCAGAGCTCTGGATAGGAGGGTGCCTGCCAGCTCCCTCTTGTAACAGAGGACCCAGAAATGAAAACACTAGCACTCCAGAAACTGCATCTCCCTTGTGCTACACCGCAAGCTCTGACTTCTAAGATGCTTTTTCAACAAAGTGGTCGACCATGCTGGCACTTTCCACATGCACTGACCATACACCTCTCAAAACTAAAAGTGAACATTTGCTCTACTTCTTCCAAACCACCGCTTGGCGGCTGAGCTTACTGAGAACCTCCATTCTGTCATCCTTCCCCATCTAGGGGCCAACTAATTGGTTAGCCTTCCAGGAACACATCCAAGTTACATATTTTGGGGAAAAGTGGACAGGCCGAACACAGAGGTTTGCCCTTCAGGCTGATCACCACTTGCTGGGTATAGCCGAACAAGCAGCTGCCTGAGCCACATTGATCCACCTTGTTCGTAAGGATCTCACCAAAAGTCTCACAAGCGATCTCACCCAGTGTCTTCCTTAAAGTTAGATACTCTAGGCTGACAGCGTCTCACTACTATTCCAGTTACCCTGCTGGAAGAGGAATCGGACGAGTGGCTGGCTGTAGAACACGTCCAGAAATTCTTTGACACCCCTCCCATCAAGAGGCGCGTGGGCTGGCCCTAGGGACCCACAGGCAGTGCAAGTGGACACTACCTGACTTAGGAGGAAACACAGCTCCCACCTGGCTGCATCTCAGGACACTCGCTTTGGAACCCAGCTGCCATATCTGAGGATGCCCAGGCCACACGGAAAAGCCAGTGTAAGTGTTCGGGCTGCAAGTGCAGGGACCGCCACGCATGGGAATGAGCAAGTCTTTGAGATGACTCCGGCCACCGTCATATTCTGACGTGACCACATGAGAGAACCCAAGCAAGAACTACCTAGCTGAGCCCCTCAGCCCCCAGACCCTCAGAGACAATAATGGGAAATGGCTGTGTGGTTTTACACCACTGAGCTTGAGGTGGTTCCTTTCACAGATGTAGATAAAAGAACTGTTGTTATGGCAACATTTTCTTGTCGAATTCCATTCCCTTTTTTCTCTAAGTGCCTTTAAACTGCCAACTTAATAGGCCATTCTAGAATTAAGAGGAGTCCTACTGGTTTATAGTCTCAGGAATCCTCCCCTTTCTACTTTCGAAAACCTGGACTGTGCACACATGAGTGTGTCTGTGTGTGTCTGTGTGTTTGTGTGTCTCTCTGTGTATGTGTCTGTGTGTGTGTATATGTGTGGGTTTTTGTCTGCATCTGTGTGTGCGTCTGTGAATCTGCGTGTGTCCATGTGTGTGTAGTTTGTTAATTCTCTCTCCACCATTCCTCAAAACTTACTGAAATCTTCAAGTTGTGAGCATGAAGTCCTTTCCGAACCCTTGCATATAACAATTAGGAGCCTAGAATTCATTAAGTAACAGTGACAGCAGTCACAACTGTAATTTGTAACGTGTCAGTAGGTGGTAGTGATGTGCCAGGATCTCACACATGCCTGACTCATCCAATCCTCAGAACCCAGTGCAGTGAAAACTATGCTAATTCTTGCTCTATGGACAAAGCAGCTGAGGCAGAGAGGGTAAGTGGTCCTTTTAAGGACACTGGCCGCCAAATAAAGAGCTACATCTGCTTGTAACTAGTTTGGGCCTCTCTTACTCCCCTTCTACCACACGCCCAAACACCCCATTAGTCAGATGTCTCTGAAAATGCCTTTGCTTGCTGTCTTCGGCACCTTCCAGTGGCTTCCACTCATCCTCAGTTTGGGCCTTCTGGATGGCATCCTCCCACCCCCTCTGTTTTTGGTATAGTACTTTCTTGAACCTGAGCAGACCCAGAGCCTCCATTTCTCTTTTTCCCTGGGACTGCCAGTAAGCTACCCCAAGCCGTCCTCCAGTCTCAGGTGGTGGGGGCTCAGTGACTTTGCTCTCTGCACCTGGCAGCATCTGCCCTTCCTGATGTCTCTGGGCTCCTGGGGACCCTGCCTTCTCTACTAAGTTGGCCAGGGTGTGACCGCTACAGTTCCTCCTAGAGGAACCTCTTTAGGGTCTGGCGGACGTTCTGGCATGGCTCGAACTCAGTGCGCTGGGGAAAAACTGACTCCAGGACTCCTAGAAAGCTGAGGGACCCGGTGGGAGTGGGGTAGGGTTGCTGTCTGGACTTTCCGTGCTAGGGGTGCAGGCACAGGGAGCCCCTATGTTTAGGCAGGTAATGCTTTGTATATGTGTTTGCTCCTCACTTTGTTTTTTTAAAGCTTTTATTTATTTCACAGATAGAGGACAGAGAGAGCAGCAGCACAAGCAGGGGGATTTGGAGAGGGAGAAGCAGGCTTCCCGCTGATCAGGGAGCCCCACTCGGGGCCTGATCCCAGGACCCTGGCATCATAACCCGAGCCAAAGGCAGTCAGTTAATGACTGAGTCACCCAGGTGCCCTCACTTTATAGTTTATATGACACTTTGGCAAACACACTTTCATAAGAGGTGGGAATTATCATCCTCATTCTAAAGGTGAGGACAGTGAGGATTAGGGAGGCAAATGGTCCCCCAGCCTATAAAGACCAGAGTTGGGGCTCCTGACTTTTCTTGGGACCCCTGACCTAGTAAGGTTTTTCACTGTACAGCCCAGGCATTTCAGAATCCACTCCTAACATAGCCTCCAGCAATGTCATAAACTGTGGACTCCTTCCCTGGACGAGGCTGCACGCTTCTTGAGCTAAGAGACCAAGCCTTGTTGATCTCACCCAAGCTGGGCCTGGGAGGCACTCAATAGATGGGTGTCACCTGGTTGAAAAGCCTACACTCAGTGGCCAAGAGGCAGCCTCAAGCCAGCACCACCCCACTTCCCTTCCCAAGGGCCTGAGCTCACTTCATGAGGGACCCTTATCTACGTGGCCCTGCTGTAAACAGAGAAGCAGGACAGGGATTACACACAAGATGGGGTAGGGCATGATGGGGAAAAAGGTGGAGGTATCACTAGGACGCCTACTCAAACGTGTCTTCATGATTTCCAGCACCGCGCAAACCATCCTATGTTCCCCTTTCTCCAGAGGGACCTTCTCTCCAACTTGTGTTTCAGAGAAACCAACAGCATGACCTCACTCCCCCTTGCTAACCTGAGAAGTCTTCTGCTTGCTGCCAGCTTCTGTCCTCACCAGTGTCCCTCCCATAATGAGGCCCACCCCGTGCCTGCCCTGCATCCCAAGTTTTTCCCATTTTACCTAAACTTGTAGTTGTCTGGCAGGAAGTAGCCCATCTTGCAGTCTCGTCGAGCCTGGAAGATCTGTTTCAGCAGATTCTGCCTACTGAAGCCATATCCATTCAAAACACAGCCACCAAAAAGGAGCTTCCCCCCGGCGAACATCTGTGGATACACAGGAAGCACACGATGGGAGGGGCCCTCAGCACACCAGCACTGAATCTCAGGCCCGTGCCCTGGGCCCTCAGAGCTTGTGCCGGAAGCCAGGCCTTTCTCTGGTGGTTTTGGTGGTGGGGGAAAGGGTGTTGCCTTCCCCAAGCTGCCCAGTCAGGTGTGGCTGAGCCTGTTCCCCATCCAGGCCTCTCAAGTCAGAGGGCAGCCCCACCATCCCAACCTTTGCCCCTGCCAGCCCACCTGCTCAGACGCCCCTTCACACACAAGCGCTCCAGGGTCCTGGGGCCGGAAGGGTTTCTTCCTGCTCAGAGGGTCCCACCACACCCACCCACAGCTGGCTGGCTCACTTATCCCTGTGCACTGATCAGCTGGTCCCATGGGATGGGAGCCTCTGGAGGGCAGGGATCTTGTCCTACTGCTCTCTGTACCCCCACTCTCTAATGTCAGTCTCAGCAAGTAGACATCTGTCTAGGGATTTCTGTGCAAGGATATCCATTAGCGTGTTATTTGTTATGTAAACCTACCCAGAAATAACCTAAATGTCCAACAAAAGGCTCACAGGCAGAGAAATCAAATGACAGATTCTCATGTAATGGTTAAAATCACAATTACAAAAGCGGGACCCCAAAGTCAGAAAAAAGACTGAAAAAGCTAGAGGCACACCACAGGGATGGCCCAGATGTTCTGACTGTTTTGGATCTAGCAGGAGCCTGGTACATACATGCTGCATGAACAAACGAGGCAATCTGTGTAATATGGGGAAGTCATTATTTTCTCAATTGTATATTCTAAATTTTCTATAATGCATATATGTGTGTGTATATATATATATATATTTTTTTCTTTTTTTACAATGCCCTGTTTTTGGTAAAAAGTTAACTTACAAACAGATGAAGAAAGGAGCACTTGGGTGGCTCAGTCAGTTAAGTGTTCGACTCCTGATTTTGGCTCAGGTCATGATCTCAGGGTCCTGGTATCAAGCCCTGCATGGGGCTCCATGCTCAGTGGAGAGTTTGCTTGAGGATTCTTTCTCTCTTCCTCCCTCTACCCCTCCCCGACCCCTCAAATAAATAAATAAATAAATAAATCTCTAAAACAAAACAAAACAAACCAGATGAAGAGAATTTGGTTCTCTAGGTTGGGTATGGCCTGCTCCCTTGAGTCTTCCAGTATGAGGGACGCATGGGGTCAGGCAGGAACAGGAGACTGGACTCCCGCCCTGACTCTGTGTGTTGGGTGACTCTCAGTCCGGCCTTCAGCTCTCTGGGCCTCAGATTTCACAAATGCTCTCTCCTTCTGATTCTGATCTCCCCTCCCGTTTCTGATTCCACAAGGGTAGGGACTGCAGGAGACTATGTTGGCAAGCGGTTGGCGCTGCATCCCCGGTGGGCCCCAGCTCACCAGAATCATCCCCGGCAACACAGCATACTTCTTCACCAGCAGGGGTGGGTCCTTCTGAAGGGAGCTGTCCAGGTCATACCGCAGCAGGCGGTAGGGGTCATGCCGACACTGCCAAGACAGAAGTAAGTGCCCATCCATCCTACGCCAAGAGGATGCACTGATTCCTGTATTCTCAGGCTAGCCAGGTTCCTGTGAAGTCCCGGAGCCCCATTCAACACTGCCTCCCATCTCCTGTTCAATGGGCTGTTCAATTCCCGCACACACACACACCCTATGACCATTGCCACGACTATCTAGGCATCTGGGTCTATCTAGGGCCTTTTGCTGGTGAAGGGTGTCATGGAGATGACTGCCCCTCACCACATGACAGCCACTAGCTCCACCCTCTAGGGTCTGCAGGACTTGACTGTTCCCTCTGCCTGGAAGAAGCCCTACTGAAGATTTGAAGGCATACCATACTCATGGGTGTCCCTATTTTCAGGATTCCTCCACCCTCTACCCACTGCTGGCTGCCCCTCTGGACAGTTTCCTGTCATTAGATCCAGTGCTGGGACCTGAGTCAAACTTACATCACAAGGTGGGGCCTTGTCAATCCAGAGTAAAGCTGGTCTCTTTCCCCTCCTTCTTTCTGGATGTTACAAACCCTTTAAAATGGCTAATGTATAATGTTTCCTGATTTTATCTGCCTTTTATTCCAGGTGCCTCCAGCTGTCCTGCCTGATGTTTCAATTTAAAACGTGAAATCCAGAACTGTATCTGGCATTCTAGCTTTCAGAGCAAGACAATGTTAGGGAACATTTCAGCCTTAATCACATACACTGGAATGGTGAAACCAGAGTCGCTATGAAACCTGACACCTCTCTCCAGATCCATCCTCCACATCCCTCAAATCCCACTGCCCACTCCTCCCTCAGATTCAAGGTCAGGGCCTATGCTACTCATGCTGGGCTGGACTGCTGTGCATCCTATGCTTACAGATAACTAATGGCCTCGAGGTAGACTAAAGGCACCTCTAAGTTCCCATGTGGGCAGGGATCCTATATCTATATAGCAATGAGTACAGGGCAGGACTCAATAAGTGTTCACTAAGTCTGTGTAAGTTGGGGCTGACTCTATAATATATATACAGCTTGGATGTACAAGACCAGTAAAAGGGCTTTTGGAGTCTACTCAGAAGGGTTCCAATGCCAAGCAGGAAGAAGGGGCAGACAATGGGCCAGAGAGGACATAGGGCCAGAGGACTTGAAGGAAGTCAGCAGGTGGACATGGAACTGACATGCTCACACAGCATCCTCTGCTCCAGTCAGGGTGGGGATTGTGTCACCCCTGAACCCTGCTAACCCTGCCAGGGATGGCTACTGAGGGAGGATGATGATGAGATTCAGGAATGACCCTGCAGCCAGGACAGGACTGGGAGTGTTCTATGTGCCCCGGACAGATCCTTGAGACTTCAACCCCAATGAACAGGGACCCCTTGACCACCTTTGCACAGGCTGCTGCCTCTGACAGGAACACTCACCCACCTGCCCAAACCCTCGCATCCTGGGAGACTCCCTGACTCTCTGGAGGTGGCAGGCCCTGCTCCCAGCTCCTGAGCCCCCGGAGCTGGCTTTTCATGGCCCTGCTCAGTGCTGCTATAGCTGTTGCCTCACCATGCTGGGAGGCCCCTCTGGGGTCTGGCATGAGGCCAGCACATAGTAGGAACTCGGCCACAGTCTGTGAGCATTCTTGTGTCTTGAGTATCCATTGGTGAGTCCATCTCTGCCCCAAGCATGCACCCCAATACATAACCACAAGCTAGGGGGAGTGCTCTGGATGAAAATGGCAGAAAAGTTCTCAGTCAGAAAGAGTGCCCACTTCAATGTGGTGACATTCGTCTTAGGACAAGAGGATGAGTCAGAGAGAGAGAAGAGAGGCAAAACATGGCAGACAGCATGTCGAAGAGTATATGCAAAGGCCCCAAGGAGAAAAGGAAGTGAGAGGGGGCCCATGTGCTGAGGTTGAAGGGCAGTCTCTCAGCCAGATGCTCAGTCAGTCCTAGCATCCCTGTGGGTGTCTCTCCCTTGGGGTTCCCGATGCCTGGACCTTGGGGCCTCCTCAGCTGGGCCCAGGACCCACCTGGATGCAGGGCGAAGCACGGCCCTGCTGTCGGTGACTATAGAGTGTGTCAAGCAGCCACTGGAGCTGTGCGGTGCTGGTGGGGTTCTGGCTTGAGACTATCCCGAAAACCAGGACCTGGCCGGGGTCACGGGGTGCAGACAGGAAGCGCTCTAGCTCCACGTCGGTGACCAGCGGTGCCTTCACCATGCACCTGCAGCCAGCCCGAATGTCTTCCTTGCGAATGAGCTTCCGCAGCACCAGTGGGCAGTCGGAGGGCGAGGCTGCCCACCTGGTGGGGCTGTGCATCTCTCCAGCCTTTCCTCTGCAATGAGGGACAACGGGCCAGTGCTCAGTAGGCCAGTGCTCAGGCCTTGGATGGGGCCCCCTAAACTCTGTGTGCCTCAGTTTCCACAGGTAAAACTGGTAACTCCTTCATCTACTCAACAAAAAATTTGGAGTCATCCTGAACCCCTTTCTTTCTCTGACACCTCACGTCCCATCCAATCTACCAGTAAGCCTGTCTGCTCTATGTTCATGAATGATCTAGAATCCATCCATGTTCCTTCTCCCCCATTCCTACTGACATGGCCCAAGCCACCATCATTTCTTGCTTGGATGACTGTAAGGGCTCCTAATGGCACTCTGCTTTCTTCCCTGGCCCCCCTTCAATCTATTCTGCTCACACCAGATGGAGGGATCCTGGCTCCTGTTAGAACCCAAGTCATATCATGTCACTAATCTATTTGAACCCCCCCAGTGACCTTCCACCTTTCACAGAATAAAAGCCTATCTCCCCATGATGCCCTTCCAGGCTGTACATGTTCTGGTCTCCTTCCTCAGTCTCTTGGCCTCTCTTACTCTCCAATATTCTCACCTTTGCTTATTGTGCTCAGTTGCTCCAGCCTCTGCTTATCCCCCAGCCTTAGGGCCTTTGCTCTTGCTATTCCTACTGCCTGCCTGGCTTTCCCCCTGGGCAGCCACCACACAACTCACTTTCTTTCCCACCTCCTTTGTATCTTCATGCGAATGTCAACTTGTCAGAGAGGCTTTCCCTGACTGTCCTATTTGGAATTGCACCTCTCAACCCTCAATACTCTTTCCCTCTCCCTGGCTATTTTTTCTCCTTAGCATTGCTCACTAGAGCACATACCATACATTTTATTTATTTTGATTATTGTACTTATCCATTCCAACAGAACATAAATTTCATGAGTTCATGAGTTTGGAGTGTTTTGCTCAGTGAAATAATAGTTCTTGGCAGATAGTAAACATTCAATAGAAATTCAATAAATATGCAAACAAATACTAATCAGGTACCTATTATGTGCCAGGCATCGCACTGGGTTGTCTCAGCATTATTGTATTTAGGTGGGAATGAGAACCATTCAAATATAAAGTGCTGCTATGATTTTATTCTTATCATTACCACTATCTTACACTGTGGTTAGCATTGTAAGCACCCACAGCCCCTGGCATAGACATTGTCTTGGCTAATTTTGTAATAACCCTATGTGATAGTCTGGACAGAAACTACTATCACTGTTTACAGATTGGAAAACAGAAGATTCCCACTGGGTGAATGGGTTATCCAAGTTCAAACAGTGATTAAATGACAAGGGCTAGGATTAAAAACCAGGTCAACCTAAAACAAGATCAATGCCAGTAATTTAACTATTCATATTTTCACAGAAGCTGCCTGATACTAATAAACACTTGCTAAACTTAAGAATATCTCTTCTTTAAGAAAATGAATATCTTGGAGAAAAAAGGTTAGATCTACTAATCACAACTCACACTAAGATAAATCCAAAATCGATCAAGAATTTAAATGTGAGAAAATTAAGCCATGAACATTCTAACAGAAAATAGGGATGAATCATCTTATAGTTTTAGAGTAGGGAAAGCCTTTGATAATTAGGATTCCTAAGTCCAAAGCCTATGAAAGAAAAATACTGATAAATTTAACTACACAGAAGAAAAATGAAAAAACCTGAGTGGCAAAACCATCACAAAGACAAATGACAAATGACAAACTGGGAAATATGTATATGAAACTTCCAACAGAGACAAGTGGTTAGTTTCCCTACTAATTAAAATACTGTAAATGAGTTAGAAAAAGTTAATAACCCAGCAAAATATGAACAAAGTAAGTGAATACACAATTCACAGAGAATTATATAAAAATGATTTTTTAAAAGATTCGCCCATTTATTTGAGAGCAAGAGAGTGCAAGCAGGGGGAGGGGCAGAGGGAGAGGGAGAGAATCATCCTCAAGCAGATTCCCTGCTGAGCACAGAGCCTTATATGGGGCCTGATCCCATGACCCTGAGATGATGACTCAAGCTCAAATCAAGAGTTAGATGCCTAACAAACTGAGCCACCCAGGTGCCCCAAAAATGATTTTTATAAAATTATACAAATATAAGAGTGGCATAGCAAAATGTAAGAGTGGCATAGAGAACCCCAAATCTATGTCCCTTCACTAAAGCAACAATTAAGCTGGCAAAAACTGTCAGAATCAACTTGATCAGAACTCTGGAAACAAATTTAAAAACTTACCACAGTCAAGGAATGTTTGATGAATAAAGAAACTGCTATATTTTGGTAAGAGAGTACTGTGGTGTTTTAACTTACTCACTTCCTATCCCCTGCTCCCCACCTTGGTGGCATCTGTGAGGATGGCAGCCCATGTTCCTAGTGTGGTTTGCTGATACCAGAGAGGGTAATATGGGCTTTGCACTCAAGGAACTGTGATTATGTGGTTTGGCACGTCTGGAGATTCCCTAAAGGACTGGCTAAGGGGCTTGCCTTTGTTTTGCTCACCTTGGAACTTTCTCCTGGACAGCATCTGTTAAAATCATTTGAAAGGAAGTATGGGAGATACAACCTCCTGGTTTAAGGGATAACAGACAGGCACATGGCACACAAATGAAAAAACCTGGGAAGAAGACGCTGGGGGAAAAATACATGGAGGGGTGTATATAAAGACTTTGAAAGTTTCCACATATACTAGGGAATCTAAAGGGGCACATACATGTCCAGGGTTGGAACCATGTTTAGAGAAACCTGAGAATACTCTAGTCTTTCATATCTGGATGACATTTGGTCTCTGCCAATGTGGGACATGAAAGACAAAGCAGAGACGTAAACAGCCTGAAAGCACTGAAAGGGTGTACCTTAACACAGTTCATCTGCAAAGACTAGGAGAGTGTTTTTTATTTTATTTATTTATTTATTTATTTATTATTTGGCTCCAGGTATTTAAGAAGTCTGTCAAATTTCACTAGTTGACCACTAAGCTAAACAGAGACTTTATGACCACACATGACAAAGAATGTAGTCTTTATAAAAGTAGTCTAGAAAAGTCACTAAACAACTACAAACTATTAGCAACAAAAATAAACCCTGGAAAGAGGGAAGAATTTGATTTCCAGAATTACCACATTATGATATTAAAAATGAAGCACTAAAAGAAACAAGAAAAAAGGAATGAAGAAAACCTATCACTGAGGAATTCCAGCCATTGTACTTACTAGATAAAGATCTTTAAATCAACTGTCCTAATTATGCCCAAAGTACTAAGGAAATGAAGAATGAATAATTAAAGGAAACCAGGAAGACAATGTCCTACCAAACATGGAATATCAACAAAGAAATAAAAAGTATAAAATAAGCTAACTAGAAATTTTGGAGTTGAAAAGTACAATAAATGAAATGAAAAATTCAACCACAGATCTGAATAGTCAGGAAAAAGAATCAGCAGACTTGAAAACAGGCCATTTAAGATTATCCAGTCTGAGGAACAGAAAGAAAAAAGAACAAAGAAAAATAAGGAGAGCTTCAGTTACATGTGGGACACCATCAAGAATGCCAAGATACACTCAATGGGAGTTCCAGAAGGACAAGAAAGAAAGAAGCAGAAAGAATATTTGAAGAAATAATTGCCAAAGACTCTCCAAAATATGTCTTTCTAAGAAGCTCAACAATATCTAGGTAAGATAAATTCAGAGATCCACGGAAAGACACATTATAATACACTTGTTGAAAGTCAAAGACAAAAAGAGAATCTTGAAAGCAACAAACATGGTTTATCACCTACAAGGGATTCTTAATAAAATTAACAGCCAGTTTCTCATAAAAAATCGTGGGGCTGGAAGGCACCAGAATGACATATGTAAAGTGCTAAAAGAAAAAAAAAAGACATCTCCAACAAAGGATTCTATATTAAGCAAATTTACCATTCAAAAATAAGAGAGAAGTCAAGACATTCCAAGATAAATAAAAGCTGAGGGATTTTGTCACTAGTAGACCTGCTGCAAAAGAAATGCTAAAGTGCCTTTAGATTGAAATCAAAGAATACTAGACAGTAACTTGAAACTATATGAAGAAATAAAAAACACTGTAAAGCTAACTATATAAGTAAATATAAACCAGCATAATCATATTTACAACTACTCTGTTCTTTTCCTATATGATTTAAAAGACAAACACATAAAGCAATAATTATAAATCTATGTTAGTTGGGCACATGATGCATAAAGATGTAGTTTTTTACAACAACAACAGGGTGGGGTGGTGAGTTTGTATTGGAGTAGAGATTTTGTAGACTTTTGAAGCTAAATTTATATTAATTCAAGATAGACTGTTATTGTAATCCCCAGACCAACTACTAAGAAAATAACTAAAAACTATACAGAAAAGGAAATAAGAAGGGAATCAAAACTGTATGTGGGGCACCTGGGTGGCTCAGTTGGTTAAGTGTCTGGCTCCTGATTTTTGGCTCAGGGTCATGAAATTGGGCCCCATGTGGGCTCCATGCTCAGCAAGGAGTCTGCTTGAAATTCTCTCTCTCCCTCTCTCTCTGCCCTCCTCCCACTCATACACACAGACACACACACACTCTCTCTCTCAGATAAAACAAATAAATAAAATCTTTTAAAAAACAACTATATGTGTTACTTAGGGCTCTCTAGAAACAGAACCAGCAGGATATATATGGATATATATCAGAGAAAATTTTTATTATAGGAGTTGGTTCATGTGATTACAGAAGCCAAAAAGTCCCACAATCCTCTGTTTACAAGCGGCAGAGCCAGGGAATCCAGTAGTATAATTTAATCTGAGTCCAACAACCTGGGAACCAAGGGAGCCAATGGTATAATTCCTAGTCCAAGGCCAAAGGCTTAAGAACTAGGAGGCTGCTGTGTAAGTCCTAACATCCAAAGACCCAAGAACCAAGAGCTCTGATGTCTGAGGGCAGGAAGAAATGGACTTTCCAGCTCAAGAATAGAGAGAAGGAATTCACTTTTCTTCTGCTTTTTT